TGCTGCACGTTGGCGAGCACGTGCGCTTGTTGGATCTTCTCCCACTCCTGCTCGTTTAGTGTCTGCACCTGCTGCTAGAGGGCGGGGCAGAAACAAGAGAACGTCGGTTAAAACACAAGTACGTCAATGAATAGTCAGATAGATACGATGGAATAAAAAGAATCTGACCGACAAATCAGAGAGAGCGACGAACGCACGCTGACCTGACGACCTTGACCTCACCTTGCTCGGTTCGTCTCGTAGCGGGTAACGCCCTCTACGGGGCCGCCGGACGACAGTCGCCGAGTCCGACTCGTAGCCGTCCATCCGGTCGCAGCGGCTGCAACGAAAACGCGATGGTGATCGCGAGCGTGGCGCCATCTCTTGACGGCAAACATAACTAAACTCCACGTGCATTTGGAGAGATGTGATTGGCAGCGCTGTTGTAAGATTAGAAACGGCAGTCCGCAGGATGGGAACCAGGAGGTGACGGTGCGGCGGAGATTCCCAAGTTTGTTTATAACGTATTTGTACATGTGCTGGTGGCACGTTTCCCGCAAAACACAAGTGGGCTGGATGTACTTGTGTGTTAATAGATGAAATTCTGATATAAAATATAGGAGATACACAAACGTAGTAAGATATGCACGCATGCCTGCACACTCACACGCACGCACGCACGCACGCGCACACACACGCACACCTACAAAAATAAAATGCTAAAGAAGCTGACATCGATACATGATACGAGTAGGTAGTCCGCATGGCCAGGTAATGAACAGACACCTGTGTAATTAACGAAGACCTGTGTAACTAGATTATGCATACCTGGACTAATAGGCAATTAACTGTATAATTAGGACATCATTGCATACATATACGATTAGACACATTCCTTGCAATTTATGCGTACCCGTACGACTAGATAATCTAATTAGGCGTAACTTCTACGTACCTGTACCATAGCTGTACGTACTGTACTGTAACTACGTAGAGATCAGGTGGTAATCTCTGCTCGATTAGATAGATTAATTAGGTGTAATTTATGCATACCTGTAAGAAGAGAGGCTTCCGACAGAGAGAGCCGACGGCAGCGTGTTCGACAGCATGGAGTTAGACGTCAACGGGAACCTCGCTGGACTGCCGAGCGCTCCCAAACTCTCATAGCTGCAACACGCGAGCGCGGAGCGCGGCGTCAGTCTAACTCTCGCCGTCGACCGATCACTCGTCGCGCTCGTTACCCGCGTTCGTGTCGTGAGGATGCGAGCTCGCAGCTTCAGTACCAGCGATGCTATAGCAGAGCTTCATACAGGAAGGGCTTGCTATGCAAAATGCAGCTTCAGTACCAGCGATGGCTATAAAGCAGAGTTTCATAGCAGAAGCTCTACAATGCAGCTTCAGTATCCGAAGCTGATTGCTATAAGGCAGAGCTTCAACACAGAAGCTCTTACAGATGCCAGCGATCAGTACCAGCGATGCATATGCAAAGCTCAATTAGCCAGAAGCCTAGCAATGGTCAGGGCTTCAGTACCCTAGTGATGGGCTATATGCAGAGTTCATAGCAGAGCTTCTACAATGCAGCTTCAGTACCAGCGATGCTATAGCAGAGCTTCATACAGAAGCTCTACAATGCAGCATCAGTACCAGCGATGCTATAGCAGAGCTCATACAGAAAGGCTCTACAAATGCAGCATCAGTACCAAGCGATGCTATAGCAGAGCTTCATACATGAAGCTCGTACAATGCAAGCTTCATAACGCAGCGATTGCTATAGCAAGAGCTTCGATACGAAGCTCTACAATGCAGCTTCAGTACCAGCGATGCTATAGCAGAGCTTCTACAATGCAGCTTCAGTACCAGCGATGCTATAGCAGAGCTTCTACAATGCAGCTTCAGTACCACCAGTCACTTGTTGTGCGGGTCATCGCGCGAATAATCAAGAAACGTTCACTTGTTACATGGGTCATCGCGCGAATAATCAAGAAACGTTCACTTGTTACATGGGTCATCGCGCGAATAACCGAAAGAGACGTTTACTTGTTACGCGGTCATCGCGCGAATAACCGAAAGAGACGTGCTCTGTCATGTGGGTCAAGATGTACGCGAGCGAACGGAAAGACGTCCACTTGTTTCGCGGGTTCGCCATCGTCGTAAATCAGACGACGAAAGGGGAGGAGATATAAACAGACTTAGACTCGTACTGCGACTGCTGCAACTGCTTGCGGAGGCTATCGCACTCGGAGCGGAGACGGTCTACCTCGTGGGTCAGCTGCACCTGTAGAAGGAGAGATGCATGTGTGAGATGTTAGAATGTGATGCAGCAGAGAGCGCAGGCAGCGGGAAGGGGGAGGACATGTGGGGCCAATGCGGTGGGTGGGCAAGGAGAGAAGTGTAGAGAGTTGAGGGTGGGGCAGAGGGAGAGAGGGTAGAGAGTGACAGTGGGGCAGAGGAGAGAGAGGGTAGAGAGTGACAGTGGGGAGAGAGAGGAGAGGGTAGAGGGTGAGGGTGATAAAAGGATAAAAGAAAGGATATAAATAGAAGATAATATATAGTATATATAATATATAGAAGATAAATATAAGCGGATAAAAATCCCCTTCCTCTGTCTCCTCCGCATACCTCCTTGCCCAACTCTTTCTCACTTATAACCTCCTCTCTCTATTGGGCCCCTCCTCTTTCTTCTTCGCCCCATCACTCCTCCCGGCCCCACCTCAATTCTTCCTACCACACTCCCTCTTCCTTACTCCCTCCCCTGACTCTAACATTAACAGCTCATAGGCTGCCACTGATAGGAGAGCACACAAGTACCCTGCACAGCCATACATATGTACATACAACGTCCTAGGGATGGCTGGGATGGCAGAGAGAGAGAGAAACTTCTGCACCCAGCTCGCCATGAAGCCATACCATATGTAGCATACAGGCCTGTGATGCGATGACAAGAGAGATCTCTCCCGCAGCTGGCACCATGAGGGGCCACACATATGTAGCATACAGGGGCCGGATCTGGAATGCAGAGAGATCTCTCCCCAGCTCGCCATGAGCCACACATATTGTACATACCAGCCTCGGGATGCTGGGATGGCAGAGAAGATACTCTCCCCAGCTCCTCAATGGAAGCCACACATATGTAACATACAGGCCGGGATGCTGGATGCAGAGAGATCTCTGCCCCCAGCTCCCATAAAGCCACACATATGTACATACAGTCTGCGATGCTGGGGATGGGCAGAGAGAGAGAGAGAGCTCTGCTTCCGCAGCTCCGCATGAAGCACAGCGTATGTACATACATGTCTGGGAATGCTGAGGATGCAGAGAGATCTCTCGACCAGTCTTCCATGAAGGCCACACGTAGTAGCACTACAGTCTGGGATGCTGGGATGGCGAGAGAGAGAGAGAGAGACAGATATCTTTCCCAGCTCGCCATGAAGCCACACGTATGTTAACATAACAGTCTGGAGCTGGATGTCAGAGAGGGGGGGGAGAGAAGAGATGAGAAGAGAGAGGAGAGAGAGAGAGAGAGAGAGAGAGAGAGAGAGAGAGAGAGAGAGAGAGAGAGAGAGAGAGAGAGAGAAGCGAGAGAGAGAGAGAGAGAGAGAAGAGAGAGAGAGAGAGAGAAGAGAGAGAGAGAGAGAGGAGAGAAAGAGAGAAGAGAGAGAGAGAGAGAGAGAGAGAGAGAGAGAGAGAGAGAGAGAGAGAGAGAGAAGATGAGAGAGAAGAGAGAGAGAGAGAGAGAGAGAGAGAGAGAGAGAGAGAGAGAGAGAGAGAGAGAGAGAGAGAAGAGAGAGAGAGAGAGAGAGAGAAGAGAGAGAGAGAGAGAGAGAGGAGAGAGAGAGAAGAGAGAGAGAGAGAGAGAGAGAGAGAGAGAGAGAGAGAGAGTAAGATCTCTTCACACAGGCTGCGCCATGAAAGGCCACAGTATGTACATACCAGTCTGGATGCTGGGATGCAGAAGATCCTCTCACCAGCTCCATGAAGAGCCACACGTATGTACATACAGCCTGGAAATGCTGGGATGGCAGAGAGATGAGAGAGAGAGAGAGAGATCTGCTCCCNGAGATGGAGAGAACCAGAGAGACGAAGTAGAGAGAGTAGGCGAGAGAGACCGGGACGTGACAAAAATAAGAGGACGAGATGAGAGAGAGAGAGAAGAGAGAGAAGAGCACAGCAGAGAGAGAGAGAGAGAGACGAGAAGAGAGAGGAGCTAGCACGAGAGAGATGAGAGAGAGAGCACGAGAGGAAAGTCAGAGCCAGAAAGCAAGAAAGAAGAAAAAGAGAAAGAGGAGAGGAGAAGAGAGACGAGAGGAGAGAGAGGAGAGCGAGAGAGATGAGACGAGAAGATGAGAGAGAGAAGAGGAGAGAAGAGAGAAAGATGAGAGAGAGAGAAGAGAGAGAAGAGAGAGAGAGAGATCTCTTCCGTCTAGCTCCATGAAGCCACACGAGCACGTGATTACACGGCATCTAACAGGTTCTGAGGACTTCCTCCCAGCCCTTGGATGCAGAGAGACTCCCATCGTCGCGTCTCAGCCCAGCTTCCATGAAGCCGGCGTCAAGCATCGCCCTCAGCCTCGCCCCTGCGCTCGCGCCGCGTCAGCATGCCCTCAGCCTCTCCCAGCTCGCCAAAACAACAAACGTCACCGCATCCCTCACGGTCACTCAGTTGACCCACCGCCATCGCTACCACCGCCTTGGTAGTCGGTCAGCATCTCGGGCATCCTGAGCCCCTACGTACGCTATTGAGATTGAGCCAATGCAGCGATGAGCGGACCTGCAGCAGACAGATCTCTCCTCGTCCTCGCCCAGCTCCAGTCCACCGAATGGCTGAAGCCCGGCTACGAATCCGTACTGATGTACATCCGCTTCCGTAATGCCTGGCTATTCAATCGCTCCTCGGATGCAGTAGAGATGAGCAATTGATGATCAGCATTTCCTCCCCTCAGCCATGCCCATCGAAGCTATCCTACCTCTCGACCCTAATGTACATACAGTCTGGGATGCTGGGATGCAGAGAGAGAGATCTCTTCCCAGCTCCCACGTAGCCACACGTATGTACATACAGTCTGGGATGCTGGGATGGGCAGAGAGCAGACGAGATCTCTCCCCAGCTTCCCATCCGAAGCACACATATGTACCATCATACATGGCCTAGGGATGGCTGCGGACGCAGAGCAGAGAGAGAGCATCTCCTTCCGCAGCTCGCATGAAGCCACACGTACTGCTACACTACAGTCTGGCGATGTCTGGGATCGCTGGAGAAGAGAGAGAGCAGAGAGATCTCTCCCCAGCTCCATGAGCCACACGTATGTACATACAGTCTGGGATGCTGGGATGCAGAGAGAGAGATCTCCCCAGCTCCCATGAAGCCACACACATTGATGTAACATTACAGCCCTGGGATGCTCGGGACGCAGAGCAGAGAGAGAGATCTCTTCCCAGCGCTCCCGATGAACGCCACACGTATGCTACAATACCGAGTCTGGGATGCTGGGATCCCAGAGAGTAGGAATCTCTCCCAGCTCCCATTGAAGCCACAGCGCAACATACAGCCTATACGATGCTGTTTAGACGCCGTCCCTCATATTCGTGACTATTATCATATGACTGTCTAGCTACTTGATCATTATATCGATATATATCATAGGTATACTATATAATAATCATGTATCATATTATAGTATATATATATGTTTGAACTGCAAAAAATAATTAACAGCTGCACGGCAGAATCGTTGCCACTCATTGCTGGAAGGCTCTCGGTGCGGCATTGTAAAATGTATGCAGCAAAGCAGAGAGAAGTTGTGGTGGCTTCATACATCGATCTCTACTACTAATGCTGCTGCTGCTGCTGATGCTACTGATGCTGTTGCTGCTGCTGCTGCGTCTGCGTCTGCTGCTGCTGCGTCTGCTGCTGCTCCTGCTGCTACTGTTGCTGCTACTGCTGCTGCTACTACTGCTGCTGCTGCTGCTACTGTTGCTGCTACTGCTGCTGCTACTACTGC